GTGACCATTTCTCCGGTAGAAATATGTCAACACACGGGAGCTATAACTCAGATGAAGCCTTGACCCTGATTGTCAATTGTTTATCCAACACCAGTCCTATAGTCACGCGAAACGTCGTTCATTATAGCAATCACCACTTCCACTTATCGATAGGAGGGAAGGCATTCTGCTTGGAGAAGACGAACTTCTTATGCTCGTACGACAGGTAACCCTAAAATAGATATACGATATTGAATGTGTGTTCTTCCACCATCACCATCAACATGTGCTGGTGACACTGAAAATTTTGCGGAAAATTTCAGGAAATTTTTTCTTGTTTTCCGCACACTTCTACCCGTATGTTAACTTCTATAGTAAATGATAAAACCCTGCTGAGCTCAGCTGAGGAAAGCGAACATATATTCCTCCAAAGACTCTGCTAGCTCAGTCGCACTTGGCTTTACACCAGTTGATGCATGAATCACACATTGCCATCGACTTCACACGGTGGGACTGTTTCATCTTGTCCTATCAAATACATACTAGTGACCATAGCATTGATACAATTCCGACACAAAGATGATAATTTCAAAGGACGCCTCTCCCCACCTTGATCGCTTGTATGTATATGAGTCCGGCTAGAGCACACTGGACCTCGTCAGCATCAGGCCTATGTAGTTGATGATCCTCGCTCTCCACACTCATAGGGGAGCTACTAGCTACACTAACATTGGAGGACTCGCCACCTTCCGAGGGCTTAGCAGAGGCAACTTGCCAGGCTAATGATCAACACCATAACGGACCAGTAATACTCGAGGCCGACGTACCAATCTCGAAATATTCCAAGTCCAGTTTATATGCACACGAGGCGGGATCTACTATCAAGTAAACACGCTTGGCAAGGTTCCTATATAACACCAACTGAAATAGATGCAAGATATCAAATCTCTCGATATAGCGTCATCTCACCAGCAATTTCTCCATCACCATATACGTCCCAGCCTTCACATACTCATCAGTGTTGTGCTCGAGGCAGATTTGATACCTGATAAGGAGGTCCCAGGTTCGATCCCCACAAGTGGCATTTTTACTCTCTAATATTGCCAACCCGGACAGCATGCAGTATGCGTCCATACTCCCCCTCCAGGCCGTACTCCCTCAACATGCTCTCACTCGGGAGAAAACCGCGCGCCAGCAAATTACACGGTATCAAATACTGTGCAATTCGTCTCCTATTACTCCTATGCTCCTCACAGCAGTTCTCCAACGCCCAATTCAACCGCTCAGTAGCTTCACCAAATTTCTGCTCTGTCACTAAATACTTCCCCCAGTGAAAATACAGCGTTACAGCGACCGACTTAGGCAGCACCTCAGGTTTGAAATACGCCTTATACTGTTGCTGAATCGACGCCAATATCGGACCACACAGTGCAACTTGATCGAGCCTCTGGAATAGTCGTAGTAGCTCACTCGACAGCCAACATGCCCCCGTCATTTTCCTCCGACGTTCCTTCAACAGCTTCGGAAAGAGCTCACGAGCGACTTCAACCATCTTCATACACCATCGGTGCTGATCACTGGCGTTGTCCATGTATATTGCTAGGTGCCGTGATTGGGAGGTAACTTCTATGAAGGGTGGGACGAACCATGCAAAGGAGTCACCAGAGGTGAAATAAACATCTTGAAGATCTTCTGAGGACTGAAAACAAAACCAGAGAATAAGTTTCATAAACTTCAGTGCAAGTCGAAACTACGCAAAAATAATTTTTCTTTTTTGACCAGTTATGAATACTTCTTTGAAAATAAAAAATTCCAATCTTTTGATATACCAATTTTCACGCCAAAAAGTCCACCAGCCTGAGACTTGCTCAATAGACGTGAAGCGAAGACCGGCTGGAACGAATTATAGCAAAGTTATGTGTGAATCGGACCTCACTGGAGAGGTCGTTTCCTTTTCCACTTCTGCTGATGATTATTCTCAAGATGCAACAACAACACTGATGTATTCACCCTCCCTGCATACATACTAATTCACAGAGTGTTACGAAAGGAGACTAAGACTTTACTGGGAGCACCCGGTCAACGAGATGACTTGGCTTATAGGGCTACTTCACATAAAGAGCTGGTAAAAACAGATTTTAATAACTTTAAATTTCACAGAACTAGAAAGAATAAAAAACACTTCTGACAGACCAATAAAACAGTGAATATTCCCTTCGGGAATTCGGGTGAGCTTCCAGGTTTCACCTTCATATCGTGCGAGGTTCCAATACTAGCACTACTAACATAGACTCCAGTCGAAGCCCCAACCTACTTCCTCCATGATGGACAGCAACTCACTGTTGACGTAAAGCTCCGTGTAGGCCCTCACTGAGCTCACTAGATTCTCCAATGCTAGTGCCTGATAAATCCAAAATCGGGGAGGATAGTATCCCTCACTACTCACCCAGTCATGGTTTCGTCGGGCCTTGAGATGCAACAGGTAAGGTTGCAGGAACTTGCCCCACATGCAAATCTGTGCTCCCTGTTTGGTCAGAGTTGTGGTGACCACACGCTGAATGGCTGAGTCGGCTCTATTCAGGCAGTTGTCTGAACCTATATTGGAACTTCACCCTAGTGATATGAAAAACACCAGTGAGAAATATATTTCACAACCACTGCATATCACCGCGAGTATCGCCTTTTTAACAGAGTATTACGCCACTTCACGTAAAACGATAAAAGTGTCCAACCACAGGAAATCTCACGATTACATTAATACGTGTGTTCCGAAGAAGTGATTGACCTCCTCCAACAGCCGAGATCACGACTTGAGCTATCGACACTACTACCAACTAGAATCCTTGACATGCTCCCCAACTATTACTACTACCCAGCCTCGTATTCGCATCAGCTAAGTGGCGCCTAATGCCATCCCCGTCCTCCTCTTGTAGTAGCCTGATGAAGTCCGTACACCATACAGTGAGCTCGTCGTTGCTGTTATGATGCAATGACGCCTTGTGCTTTGGTGGAGACATGGCTAACAGTGGTGACACACAATCTTGGTGTCACACCTTCCCTACATTCGGAAACACAATAGGACATGGACATTTCTCACCCGCCTAGCAATGCCCTAACAATGCACTCCACCGTTCATCATTTCTCCATGTTCGAAAATACAATCGAGCACTTCCCTTCAGATCAACAAGTGCTCTATCAATATACCTTTGACAATGTGGTATACAGTAATTTAAAACTCCCATAGCGTAGCCAAATGCCATAGCTGTTATTCTTAGAGGAGTCCTATACTTCGTATACAACATACCAGCCGTAGCCGAATCCCACGACCCCCGTGATACTTCGGGTCCACACGACTCTTCACATTTTCGCCACACCAGTGCTGCAAAGAAATGTTCGCCCTCCTCAGCTGAGCTCAATATTTGCCTCGCCAATTCTACATACGAATTGGGAGAATATATACGACAAGTTTCCTCTCAGAATTTTCATTTTCTCACCAACACATGTGGTTAACCATTTGCATATTTTACCACATATTTACAGCATTCACACGCAAGTGGGAATTGATAGTAGTTATACCACATAGATGCTTCCCCTGCATCCATCCGCCATCTTGTTAGAAATGTTAGAATTCTACTCCGACCTACTTTAGCACGCACAGACTCCTATATGCTAAGGCGAACGAACCCCTCCCAAACTGCGTTCTCAAATACTCACCAACTTGCACCAACAAAACACTCAATATTAAGTCAGAAATCCATACAATATTCAATCATGTCGATATATATACGATTCAACAGCCTAACGGTATCATCGCTGACTCTTCTGCCTTACACCATGGTTCAAACCCCAGCAAGTGCATAAGGTCGCCCTCAATACCAACTGATTGTCTACTTCCTCACTATTTCGAGTAGCCATCAGCCCTACCAACAGATCCCATTCTATTAAATCAATACACCAACATTACTAGCCGAAGTCCGTCAGTTTATCTAGACAGACCTCAAGACTAGCATATCGTAAATGAACTAAATCTAATAAGACTACACTGTCAAATAGCAAACCGAGGCATCTCAAGAAAATTGATGAGGACAGCAACATACAGGGATCGAGAGCTCTTCCTCTACGCTGCTAACCTGAATTAGGACACATATGAGCGACGCGAGTACGAGTGACAAGTCAATTGCACTGTGAGAGAATATACGCATTTGGTGGCGATGATATGAAAATTCTGAGGAAATTTCCAGAGATTATTTTTGATTTCTGTAAATTTCCACCCCGATTCACATATAAACTCCCATAATTAGTAATGAAGTTCCCGAGCTCAGCTGAGAACATCAATTATAATATTCCAACACTCACGAGTATGCATATCAGGCGATCACTGTCTGCCTCCACCGCCTCCACCACCAAAGAGCAATGATATAACCTACGAGTAGTTTAGCGAGAAAACAACGACTATGCAACTCACCGTAGTAACAACCATGCAGAACATAATAGTACTTGTGATCGACAGGCTGGTGATCGAGCTGACCACGTGCAGTGTTGGAGGAGATTATTTTCACACTTACTTCACAAAGACCGTCCACCATAGTAGCGGTGACGTGTCAATGCAAGTGATCGAGGTGTTCACCCAAACCAAGCCTGATAAGGGGTCGTAGACAAACAACATTCTGTAGTATCACCAACCCTACCTGTACACAGCCAACAGAAGGAGCCTGCCAAGAGCAACAGCTCCAGAATAAAAGCACCTCTGAGGGTAGCAGACATAACCCGACGGAGCGAAGCACAGCAGTTTTACTTGAATCCCTCTTCACGACCATAGGAGTAGACCAGGAAGGTAGCCGGCCAGCCCAACAAGAGCCCCACTGAACAGGTACGATCACACTAAGGGCATTGCCGGCGTCAGCACACCTATCGCCCAAGCCAACAAAGGGACGTCACAGGGAATCCCAAAGCCTCGGATAGTAGCGACCAGCAGGGAGGTGTCGAATAAGCTGACTCCTGTCATGATAGTGGGCAGCCACCTACACGTGGGGTTGGGGTCGGTTCATAAGGCGACATAAATACTCTAGGAATTTCCTAGATCTGCCAGAGTTGATCTTGTGACCTCCTTGGTAGTGCTCATCCTCATCCATAGGCTCCATTGATCCACCACTCTTGGTCGCGATATTCACTGGCACGCCGCCGCCGCCACCGACGCGACCAACACCACTACTCGACGACGAAGTCCTCCTGGGACCTGGAGGGGAGGCAATATGTGCACATAGTCAATTACATGTGTTAGGTAAAATAATGAAAATCACGAGAAAATTTGGGGAAATTATTGGGGTTTTCATACTCCGGTCAAACTGAAAAAACCACACATATATCCCCACACTGGAAAGGCAAACCGGAGACTCTCCGGCGGAGAGAGAAAGTCAATCAGAATTTCTAGACTGTAGACGGAACTTGTCTGAAATTGGTGAGGATGTAATATTGAAATTTCACCCTAGTGATATTAAAAACACCAGTGAAAGATATATTTCACGACTACTGCATATCACCGCGAATATCGCGTTTTTCACCGAGTTCTACGCCACTTCACGTAAAACAAGTGAAACTCCATTATATCAAATATAATATACTGAGGTTTCACGACCGTGATATGAAAAACACTAGTGAAAAACATATTTCACGACTACTACAGGCAAGTAAAACTCGTTTTACACCGAGTTTTACGCCACTTCACGTAAAACGGGTGAAACTCCACTGTTATTGCGTCCATTCAAATTAAATATATAGATTATATCTTAATAGGATTGTTGATATAAAGTGCCCTGCGAGGTGAAGCAGGCCACAAACACCTCTACGTGCAGCCACTCACCCTCGCCGAAAAAGTCCCTCGAGGTGGCATCGTCCCTTCCAAGGCCACTCTGGAGAGGAATAGTAAAACTCAATAGTAAAGCTGTTGTTTACCGCAAGAGCAGCAGCTCCCACTAGAGGAGCAGCAGTCGGCATCATCCCTAGCTGGATGGGTACCGACACTGGGGGCACTAGAGGGTAACTTGCCAGACCACCAGGCTGAACAACATATGTCTACTATGAACCCATCGAGCATATGCCTTACATCAACCTGCCAAAAGGTGTCCCACGCCTGTTGGAGTAGGACGAGACCATCCTCCAACCCCAGCATGAGCGAACAAACTACACCTAATGAATCCTTCTCCTTTACAAATCGTCGTCCGTGTAAAAAGCGCACGCCCATCTAATCGATTTACCACAGTTGCGATGATCTCGGCCGAGGTGCTGTGCTCTTCCGTGATGTCTTCGCCACTTTACCGCGAGTACACAGCAGTGCTGATCGGTGGGACGGGCCGCCTTGGAAGCCACTTAGTCCGAAGCTTCCTCCTGTCCCCTTTGTGTAAGCCAGCAGTTGGTCCGTAGTGAATATATCACATTGGTAGGTAGCCGGCTGGTCTCCATAGGCCGACCCGGGCATGCTGAGAGGCTCAACAACTTCATCACCACTAAGATGGGCAACGCTGGAGCAAAGTACTCTAGGAGGGCTCGTATGAGGGAATCCATATGGTAGGTCTAAATTGAAAACAATTGACATTGCTGAGGACTTGTCGGATTTGCCGGCCGCTTTGAAGGAGTATGGAACAGGCGCTGAGCTTGCGGTCTCCGCTCTTGGAGCTAGAGGAGGCAGGTACGGATTGGTCTAATGGTGGGATTCTCATCTCCATACCATGTGGTCGTGGGTTCTAATCCATCACTAGGTACGGTTCAGCAAGCCCTGCAGACCTCTTCCGCCTTGACGTCGCTACCAATTTGAGTTTCGCCGAAACCGCCGCCCAACAACTCGGTAGTCTCCCGGCACCTCTTCATTGAAATTATCTTCCCTCAGGCGCTTCCCATGTGGCTCTCATGAGCCACGTTAGTGCCAATTACAGCAACAAGACGACTAGTGACGACGCAATGCCCGGCAACTTCAGAGAGGCTAAAGGCCTTCTCGAGTAAGGGGCTCTACCACACGAATACATTCAATATTGTATATCTCTAAACTCGATGACCAATACGGTGATATGTGTGCACCATCTGGGTTTCATTGGATACGGATAATGAGCAAATTCCATGGCAATGTTTGTTAAATCTCATTCTACCATATTTATATATCACGTTTCAGTAGAGGCCCTAGTCTATGGTCCCTAGCAGTGTCAGTTCACCTAGTGTCAAGTGGTCGTCAGGTACAGAATCGAGACTTCCGAGGTGCTGAAGTCTTTGGGTACTCGAGTATCGCTATTCAAGCCCGCCTTGATCACAGGGGAACCTTCTGATCAATGCGGTGAGTTGGCCTCTTGCTGGTATTATAGCAGTATGTTCTTCAGAGGCCCCGCCAGCAGTGAGTACCTCCTCCTCATCGTCGGTGAAGGAACGACTGATACAAGCGTTGTATCCAATTAAAGCTCAGTTTATGCGGACACAATATCGAGAGATCAGCGCTGATCATCTGGCATTAGCGGTAATACTATAACCGAAAATTGCCGCGCTTGAATTTTCGTGGAGTCGCTTCCACCTTCTGATTCTCGAGAGCACTTGGGGGCTCTGTACAATGCAGTTATAGAAACTACAGACGACTAGGACTCAGTTCATTGGGTTTTTAATAGGGCGTTTCACAGAGCGAATCGAAACCTTACGTATCTAGCAGTTATAATATTCACAATAACAGTTTGGAAATTTCATTTTGTTACGTTTCAGGTGAGGATCAATCATGAGATGTGCGTACCGTCAGAGGGGGTATCGATGGAGCCGTTGGGGTATGAGGAGTGTATGAGGTTAATAGGAAAGGATGATGACATTTGACTTCACGTTGGTATACTGCTATTTTTACACGAGTGATATTGTTTCTATGAGAGCGTGTTGGATCTCGACTTAGCCGTAGCAGTTGTAGTAGTAGTAGTAGTAGTAGTAGTAGTAGTAGTAGTAGTAGTAGTTGGAGTAGGAATATATGTTGGCTTTTCTCAGCTGAGCTCAGGAGGAGTTCCTTCACTAGTTATAGAATTCAGAATTTTGATAAAATTCACTAAAAGTATGAAAAAAAAAGTGCAAAGTGAAAAAAATTCACTAAAGTGAATTCAGTTAAAAGTATTGCAAAATTTCCTCAGAATTTTGATATTCTCACCAACATATGTAGTTGACCATGTGCATATTTTCCCACACTTTGTGCAGCAGTTTCTTCATTTCGGTGATTTTGAATTCTCATGTCGGGACAACAGCGAACTCTTCAGCCTTATGTCACTGGAGCTTCAGTTTTGGCCGTGAAGTGAGGCGGAGCGAAGCGATTCATGTTTCGTATCATTTTCTCATTGATGTAGGTATAAGGATGGTATTATGATGTGCTATGACACTTTGGCCAGCTACGGCAGCTCTGCGAGATTCACGGGAGTTGACAGAGTTATCAAGGTAGGAGCATTTGATCTTAGAGCTACTGGGCTCGCCAGGGACCTATTTACCTCTGAGAAATAGCATCACTCAGGGTTTAATAACAATGGGGAAATGTTCCTAATATGATGATGACATTCACATGGGAAACTGATTGAAGAATGCGTTCCTAGCCATCCGTGGAAATGAGTTCCCGCCCGGGACCATTGGAGATTCCTGGATGATTCCTCGCTGTGCGCACCGTCCTGAGTTGTCCATGGTGTGGTATTTCAGGTCGGCAGTAATACCCTCGTGGCTGCTTCGGGTGAGATTTCGGATTTTCAGTAAGAATCTTGAGGTTGACTGAGAAAGATTCATTTGAGGTCGGAAATCTTTGTAGGTATCTGAGTGATAATCTACAGGATCTTGAAAACCAGGACTGGCTCTGTGATGATGGAACCGAGTAAGTGGTATCATAGGTTGCCGACTGAAAGATACGGAATAGGTCCGGAGGAGGTCTATCTCATTTCAGGCGTGGCCCCTCGGAATGGGCACAGTATATCAGTCGTATATACTATCAGAAACGCGGTAAGATGGATCCACTTTACAACAATGTGGTCATTGGTGGTATCAACAAGAAGGGCAGCAGCGAGGAGCCTTATTACCTCGCTACTGTTGACCTCTACGGAACTTTCTTTCAAGAGGACATTGTGGCAACAGGTGATCATACAAGGCTTTTATCTACCACTGAGACTGTTGCTAGTCTTTATGAATATAACTTCATTCGTGTAATGAAAAACATATTTTACGATTCTCACTGCATATCGGGTTTTCCGCCACCTTACGTAAAACAGGTGAAACTTCAATATGCGTCGCAACAGGCGATTCTCCTCAGGTTTCGGTCAGCATCTAGCGATCCCGATCATGCGCCGTAAGCATCGTAATGATATGTCCGAGGCAGAGGCCAGAGAGATGTTGGAGGAATGTAATAGTATCTTTGTGCATGCGTGCTGATTTATGATCACCAATGGTCTAGGTATGAATGTGTTGTACTACCGTGATTGCTATTGCTCCAATAAGGTCAAGTTCGCGACTATCACAGCTGAGGGATATAAAATCTCCAACGAGGTATCTTCCGCCTCTTGCTTCGCTCCGCCATTTTTTCGTTTCAGGTTGTTCTTTCTGGCAAGTGGGATTATCAGAGATGGATTACTCCTACTATCGAGATCGCCCAGACTTTAGGGTCCAGCTGGTAGAGTCTTAAACACTAAACACCGTGGAGTTGAAACCAGTTGGATGTGAAGATCATTAGTATCAACAGTATTTCCCCACTGCCTCCTGTGCTGCGTTACAGTGTCAATTCTGCTCCGGCGGAATGGACGCTTCACATGGCTTGGTATTCTGGGGAGCTCCAGAAAGATCTGGAGACAAAACTTGAATGTGAAATATATTGCGCCCTATCAATGATACAATGGAGTTTCACCCTAGTGATATGGAAAATACTTCACGAGTACTGCATATCACCGCGCGGATTTTTCACGTAAAACGAGTGATGAAACTCCAACGCTCAGCGAAAGAGGGTACCCAGCGTATTTTGGGTCTCTTAGAATCTCCTACTCGGCGTGAGTGTTGGGATATTCCACAGCCAACAGAACGTCGGGGGGGAGGCAGGCCTGCAGTTGTTTACTTTCTTTAACGCATCCAACTCGATGATTTCGTGGCTGGGGGAAGTTTGAGGGGATAATCACATAGATTTGCTGATGTTTGCATGTTTGCTAGTGGACAGAGATTACTCTATCGTCCATTTGTTGTGTAATGTGGAATTTACGCGTATGTTCAACTGCATGTGTTGGTAAAAATATGGAAATTGTTACAGGAATTATCGTATTTCTCCTGCCCAAGTCGTGTGTGAATTCTCATAATGCAGTGAAGAAGTTGAGGAAACCGAATATATATTCCCACATTGCTGTCTGCCCAATCTGATCTCCCTTCTAGGTATGGCTAGTTGGATGCTGTTCTACTGCTACTATATTCAGTCTATTCCTCCAAACAGTCGTCTGGCTAGTGTTATTGTTGGTCCAACGGGTGACGACCATCAAGGTGAACATTTCCAGATTCGATCAGCCGAAATTTTCCGAAATCTCGTCTACCTCGGTTTCGCTGAAGTTCGTTGTGCGAATGGTCGTCCCACTCCACGGGCTAATTGTGGGGTAAATCCCCCTTGAAGTTTTCATGATGTCAAGGAGGATCTGGTGGAAGCCTATATGTTACTGATAAAATCTACTCTATTTCGAGTGATGAGCTCTTCAAGAGCGCCAGGAGCTCCACCATTAGCACATACATGTTTACATATATATGCCCATGACTGAGAGATGACCAGGGATTCACTTCGGGAGTGGAGCTGTGTTATCAAGTGTTTCTTCTTCCCAATACTTTCGAACTTCATAAACCCCCTCACAAAATAATAGAACATACAGTATTTTTTCGATTTCTTTGTTATTACTGCGACTCAGGTTGTGAGATTTCGTGTGTGAGGGTATCACTTATGTAGGAACAAAAATATATGAATATTTTAATATTTTGAGCCGTTGACTCAATGGCGTTGATTAGATTTCCGAATTAGGTCTTCAGTGGAGGTTTTGCTCGAGAGTAAGTCCATTGAAGTTTATGTATAGGTTGGTTCAACCCAAGTTCTGGAAGTCAGTGATAATATGAGATGAATCAGTTGCCTTATCTCTTCTTTCTCACTATATTACATTGTTAGTGTGACCGAACATGATCTGTGAACCCAGAGCCCAAGGGAAGACCCTGGGAGGGTTCACAGCGTTTGGTCCTCTTCCACACTACCGACCAACTGTCAACTGATCGGCGGATGTTTTTCACCCCTACACAGTGATACAACAGCAACGGCTTGGGAATCTTTCATCGCTAAGGCAAAAACGAGTAGACTAATGATTTCTACAGCATTTCCAGGTCTAACTAATTGCCATGGGTAAAAAAATTGAATTTGTCAGCAGAAAATTAATTTGACCCAGAAATGCTGTAGACATGAAGATCGATAACGCGGCGGATTAACTGCAAAACTAAGGCTACACTTTGTGGAGAAACTATCGTTTGCATCAAGATGGTTTAATCAGAAGCTGTAAAGTCTTCGCCAGTGGGCATGTCCACGCCTTCCAAGACCTTCTTCACGGCCTCGGTCACTTCGTCAATGCGTTCAAAGTTCCTCCGCAATTTCTCGTTGGCTGCCTTGACCAACCAGTCCGCTGCTGGACCGGTGTATCTGTCGTTGGAAAATATGCACATGCTCGACTAAATGTGTATGAAAATTTTGAGAAAATTTTCGGTGGTTTTATACACTTCTACCCGGAATCGCATATGAGGAAATTCTTGAGCTCGGTCGAGGGAAGCAATCATATTTTCCAACAGTATGTAGTAATGACAGTAATTCGACAAAAGTGTGGTATGTCCTACAGGTCCTGGCCTTGGACTCGAATGGGAGCATCGATGCGATCCTCCCCTTCAACAGCAATGAGGACCTTCTTACAGTCTTCAGGGGAGCTCGCCTGAGCTTATTGATATATGACTTAGCCTTATAGCCTTCTCCCCTACCTGAATGCTGCGTATCATACTAAGAGGTAGAACAGTGCGGAAACCTCTAACGAGTTTCATCGCAGTCTCCAGAGAACTGCAGGCGACATGAAGAATGATCGGCTCGAACTGATGACAAAGGCTGCGCACAGCGAAGATTTTGGATACCCTACTACCTTAAGCCACAGGAAGGGTTCCTCTTCGGGTGTTGGCAGATTGTGTAGGTAATCAGAAGGGACGTAGTCGTGAGAAATGCCGTATCGGTGCATAAAATGCCCATCGGTTTTACTCTGTGTTGACTCTCCGGCCCAGACCTGGACAGCAGGAGTTGACCTAACGCGTATACTCGGAGCTCACCTGGACCCGCCCACTGCAGCTGCTAGTGGTATAGTAATCATCACTGGAATTGATGAGATCACAAAGAGGTATTGTCGCCGCATCCCAGGAGCCCTTGGACGACTTGTCAGCTTTCGTCAAGGCATTCTTCTTCTGGTTCAGGAACTGCTTTACGGTGTAGGGCGACTGCTTTTTGGACATCATCAACAACTCGCTGAGCACCACTACTGATGAAGTAGCCACTCATATATAGCGAGCACAGTCTGCGCTCACTTGTAGTGAGGCCTCGAATAATCAATGAGTACTCCAAGAGGCGGGTGAAGCCTGTGTTGAAAAATATTGGCAATGTGGAAATTCTGGGGAATTCTTGTTGGTTTTTGTACAACCCGAATTCTCTCGTAAGCTTCTATAACTGAGAAAACTCTTGAGCTCAGCTGAAGAAAGCGTACATTTTTTCCAACACTGTGAAGTCCATTCGAAAATTGCGTCCGATGCGGACATAATGCCCGGAGTCATTCCGCTAGCACTCAACCCTGGATCCTGAGAGACACTTTTTGTATCACATAGAAATTCTGTTCGCCAACTAAATGCAGTACTTGTGAAGAAACGTAGTAACCATAGCGAGCCATTGGCCTTCTCTTCTCCCCTTTAAGCCTTCTAGTAATAATAATATCACCTCTCCAGCGGATTTTCAATCTTTTTCGCGCGCCAGGAAATCACCAATTTCACAGACATCGATGATCCGGCTAACTACCTCGGGATTAAGTGAGTTCCCCAACATGCCCACCAGAGCCCTCTCCGGAATCTCCAACTCTTCCACGTCAGTGCAAAGTGCTGTCGTCTCGTAGGTGCCAGTCTTAACCCGCTTCTCCTTAGGCTCAATCGACTCCTCGTGTCTGGAGCACAGCGCTGGTCGCCAGCGGCTACCATCAGACTTCAACGGGAAACCTTGAAGCCGCGCGATTTCACTTGGCGTGAAATACCGCAGCTGACCAGCCAGAGCGGTCATACTCTTGAGGTCGTGGAAATGCGGCCGATTCATATCATCCCAGGCGTCAGGTTTTCTGGGCGTTTCTGATTTCAGCAGGACGCTACCGGTGCCGTTGTGAAATTTCCTGTAAGCCTTCGTGAAGCACATCGATTGAAGCGACTTCGGAGCCACAATGTCGAAGCAAAAGCTCGAGGGTTTCTCCAACGTAGACTCTGGCACGTCACATAGAGTGCCCGATGAGTGATCGAGAAACTGCCCGATTTCCCGTGAAGTGTACTGACAATTACAGTCGAGGTCAGCCATGACCAACTCGAAGCCATCCTCGTCTCGAATGGGATCCACCGTCTCCTTAGACACGATTCTCAGTGAAGTCTCCTTGCAGTGAACACAGGGAATGTTCTTGTATACTGTCAGTGACAGAGCGTCGGCATTTTCCGTCGTGATATACGGGAGTTTCGAAAACGCCGATTCACCGCGAATAGCGACCAAATAAAATCTCGTGCGAGAATTTGGAAAACCAAACTGCATCGGATTGAGCATAAAACCGCGCCAATGATAGCCTCCAATTTTCTGCAATGCTTTCAGAAGTTGACGGAGCGATGCAGATTTTTCAAAGTGGACGACGTTTTCGAGCAAAATAACCCGGGGAGGAGTCTTCATCTCACAAAGAACCTAACATGATCAAATTCGTTGTCTTAGTACAGCGTTCACCAGCGACCTGTGTGATTCTTCCGAGTGCGGTCGCCCGACAGTCCTCCGAATCTTGTTGCTTCCCCTGTCGTGTATAAGGCTGGCAAGGAGGACTCAACGTCCACATGTCGGCAGCCATCGAGTCGAACCACTTGACACCTGAAAAATTAGTGGAGTTTCACCCTAGTGATATGAAAAACGTATTTCACGACTACTGCATATCACCGCGAGTATTGCGTTTTTCACAGAGAATTACGCCACTTCACGTAAAACGAGTGAGACTAGTATTCTCGTGACGGCGATAGGAGCACCCAAACCTCTCGTACAAAACCGCCTTACTACCAGCCGATGCAATATTCTTAGCAATCGGTGAATCTCCATAGCTCCTTGCGTACACCTTATTGGACTCCGTGTTGACATCGACTGCTGTTATTTTCGAGGACCTAGGATATGATGTGAGACTACTCCGAGCTAGCCCATAGTACATGATCAAGCCTGCTGAGGCCAGAGCACAGCGCATGCCTCCAATGCCACTGAAGAGCTCCAAGACTTTGGTATCATTGAGAGCCATGACGACTCAAACTGGGTGTGGGGGAGTTTAACCTCGACTACTGCGTGACATCTCTTCTAGAGATGTAAAGGCACAAAGACTGGGCGTAACGCGACTCCCAATATTGACCAGAAATTGCCTTTGCGAAGGCGGGAAGCCTCGCTACTGACGGCAACATCAGCTGCAGAAACGAGCGTGTTACCTTTTAACAGAAATGGAGTTCATCACTACTTCGAGCCGCGTCGACTTTTCCTGTGATAGAAAATTTGTTGATGACAACACGCGTGACAAGCGACATTTTCGGAGGAGTTTGCAGAAAACTCTATCGCATGTTGCTGACATTCTTCATACGCTTTATGTACGAGCTCCCCTGCAAAGACTCCGTCAATGTCGTGTGAATTCGCACGGATGGTGAAACGATTCGATCGAGTGGCACGAACTGATAATCGGTGTGGGAGAATATGCACATGGTCAACTACATGTGTTGGTGGCATTTGCGAAAATTCAGAGGAAATTTTTGAAGGTTCCTCCTGTACACTCGGCAGCGAGGAGGGCCATGACACTCGAATTGGTGTTCCCAACGCGGTGCGCGAGATGAGAGTGTAAGAGGCTACCCCACTAATCGATTTTGTAGGGAAATTGATGAGGAAAGCGAAAATTTATTCCCACACTACTGAAGGCACTTACTCGAGCAAAGACGCGCCTGCATAAGGGGGACATTCTGGGAAAGGTGACGACTGTGTTACTCTGGAGGAATCTGAAATGACGCATAAATTCAACTTGGCGTGGTTGGCCGCCTTCACCTGAGAAGAGCATTGGATAGTAGGCACGATCAGGGGGAAGGGCGAGGGCAGGAGGATAAGGTGGGGAGGGAGAGGGGTGTAGCCGCGGCAGAGAGGGAGGTGAACAGCTGAGGAGGAAGGGGAGGTGCAAGGGGACGCCTTACTTGGGCATAGATGGCGACGGGCTCGAGCGTATAAGCGGTGCGAACATTAGAATAACAAGAGAAAAGATCTGTCATGGTATCGGGCCTACTTTGTATCTTGCACGGTCGACCTCAAGATACATCAAGTTGTGAGTACTCATGTCATCAACACAGATCATAAGTCCCCACTCATCACCGAGTTACCTTTGCGCGTGCGTGCACATTCATCTGGGCGCGCGCGATCGACAGCGCAAATCTCGAAGGAAATCTAAGGAATTGAATTGAACTGGTTACTAGTCTTCGCCTATTTGGAAATCTGATTGCACTTTAGGTTCTCGTAGGACCCTATGAGAGCGGTACGCTCGTAGCGTGTCGGTGGCTGAAGATTTTCCGGGAGTGTCGTTGCTGGGAATCGATCCGGGGGTCTCTCGTAGTTGTAATGGAGTCTGGCCCTCACGTGGTTTCCCCGCCTAACGTACGAAGCGGCATCCCGAGCGCTCAACCAGTTCCGAGGTGCACACGGTGCAACTGCGTGAAGCACTTGCACGGCCCACAGGTATCTTGAGGTCGACCGAGCAAGATACACATTAGGTCCACTTTCCCTCAGTGTCCCCGCGACGGAGTTCTTGACCGTAACTCTTGCTATCCCCCTCCTCCCGCAGTGGAGATGCCTCGACAAAACCAAAGCCCGCCTCCATACGGGCACGAAGTGAAGGTAGTCTTCGCAAGTGTGGCACATACTTTCCCCTCCGAACACTTCAGATCGATCGCTGGTGGTCGCCGAGCAAGAATAATCATCCCCGAGAGCGATACATGGAGGTGTTGCCGCCGCAGCCCAGGCCACCGGTAGAGCGGTCTAGTGGAGAGGAGGGCAACCACAGAGGACAACCCTAGTACTAATTCGGGAGGGTGCATGTGGGCATTACTTAGTTCGCTTAGTTGCTTTTGTGAATACATATTCGTCGATTTATTGTGAAACTCTGACCCCTCTCCTCAGTGTATTAGTTCCGGGAACTGCTGTCGTTGATTGTCGTTGCTCGCCCTGCTGTTGCGGTATTTCGTTAACTGTGGGATTAGGAAGTTTACTGTAGACTTTCATAATATGTACAGTAAACCATTTTTGCGTACTAAGGCCTTCACCAGTTGCCTCATACAACCTACGGATTCTGCTGCTCGAGGAAACCAAGTTGAGCGTCGCTCCGCTATGTGTTTGCTCTTAGTTCGTACCAAACCAACAGCCCCAGGTGGGCCCAGCCACAGCATGGCATGCAGCAGTATGGAGTGCCGCCGACTCGAACGCTCGCGGTTGAGCCCAACCGATATCGTTCACCACAGCGGAGGTGAAGTAGTTTCTGTCTATTCCAAGTATCGAGAACTCTCGTAGGTTGAGTCCATTGTCGGTTCGTCACTCCTCGGCTGACAGAAGTGAAGAGTGTCGAGTTCTCCGGCAGCAGATATTTGCTCTTGGGCAAAGCCTCGCTGGTGATAGGAATCGCGGTCAGTTCTTCGTTGATAGTGCTACTCTAGGCGTCTGCGCATCTTGGTATAATGCAGCATCTCCGCCTGCGGGTGAAGGTCATCCTCGTCGGGGTCGAGGCGTGGATGAGGTTGGTAAAGGCGGGGGCCACCCTAGTGCTGATGCTGTGGGTCGTCTGCTACTGGACTACCTTCACCCTTGTCGGCCAACCGATCAAGTCGTTGAGGAATTATTCCGGTAATACCAGGGGGAGGTTGGGGCTACAGATAGCTGGTCTTGACAGGAACATCTATTATACGGTGGGGACTCGGCGAGCAAGAGGGTGCACAGTACCTCCTCCGCCAGATAGTGCACCGTACTTCAGAGAGCGCAGGGTCCTCGCCCCGCCGGGCTCTACCTTGTCGGGAGGAGGCGGTGCTGTATTCGCCCCCAGCAGTGGGAGTAATACGGGCGGTGTGGGCAAACGTGTTTGGTTATCTCGGCCGAGCTCAGGAGTTTCGTCACTGTGTCAAGGGAATTTACGATAAATTAAATTTTAATATGAATATTGAATATAGCACTGTATTGTTTTTATCGTGATGGGGTCTTATATATCATTTATTGCTACTCCTGTAGTTAATAGGTTTTTTTGTATATATTTTGTTATCATATTTGCATCTCATATATCTATCGCAATATATGGTATCAGGGGTGAAGTGTATAGAAACAACAAAAATTCCTAAAATTTCCCCAGAATTTACTCATTGTTATCAGCACATGTAGTTGACCATGTGCATATTCCCCCACACTGAATACGGGCTGTGATATTGGGTTACCCAAGCTGGACGTATTAGCGCATTCATAACATGGCAGATACCATTGTTCGGCATGGTGATTGGTGGCGAGCTACTGTGACCTCGTACGAAGGGGCCGATACGGACGCCCAGGCAGGGTCCGACGTGACCTGTGAGGCAGTTCGAGCGGCGTTGCAGAGGCTCATGGGGATCAGCATACGAAGGTATTGTTGTGTGAATTCTTTGAATGTCATTTGCTCCGATGTAGGATCGATGTGTTCCCATCGGGACGGCAGAGTGACGTGACGTGCCAGCTGTGTGTTTCTGTTTATGATTCGGAGGATCCTAGTGCGAAGACTGCAACTGATGCGCTGAAGGAAATGAGTAGTGGGGGTTACTGCTGTTCTTGACACTTTGCTAGAATAAGAATCCTCGTGAAGGAATGAATGTACACTATTTTTATGTGACACTTTGGCCGAGTGGTTAAGGCGGCGGCCTGCTAAGCCGTTGGGCTCTGCCCGCGTGGGTTCGAATCCCACAGGTGTCGTTTTTTTTCAAGTGTGCACCTGGTGGATTAAGTGCTGGTAAATCATTGTGGATTCGTCGTATCTCAGGCCGTATCATTACCAACGCGGATAGTGGTAGCGCGAGGAGTGCGGAAATACATGAGCTTGTTGATCTGTCCACCTGGAGATTCGAGGGGATTGCTGCTGAGGTTATTTGGCTGCAATCTGTACTCACGTCCTTGTAGAACTGTCGCCGGGGTTAGGTACACAACCTACTCCAGCAATTGGACCAATCAGCCACATTGAGCAGTAGATATGGCGGGTCACATCGGTGATTGTAAATTAAGACATATATGTAAGATTACATGTACCCGAAGTCATGCTAATGCTGTTGATTTGATAAATGGTGTTGAGTTTGACTGTAGATCTTTGGAGGGATAGTCCAGGGTCGAGTAGTCAGGTTTGTTGCACGAGTTTTTCTCGTTACAATGGTAATGCGTTCCGCTTTTGAGGACCGTGATAGAGTGGATGTTTACTCTGACAGAGGCGCTCGGAGGGAGAGAATCAAACGTAGTAGATGGATGAACGTGACAGTTGCGCTGGATTTGTGAACACATCGGCTCTAATGCGTAAGTACAGGGATGTTAGTATTTATCCCTCCGGATAAGATAATTCAAAATATTTATTGACGTTGTGTAGTTCACGGTTTCATCCATGTATAAAAATGCGTGAAAATGAATATTTGCGCGGGGGCCCTGTGACAGGGCCTCGCTGCCAGCACTGCTGGCCCAGCAGGGAGTCCTCACATTACAGTCGCATGATGTTGAGAAGCGGCACCCCAGACGCAAGGCGATTCTTCGTGACACTACAATCCAGTACAATGTATGGCATGGGACCTTCATTGTCTCCATTGACATCAGCCGGTTTGCCGGTCGCGACAGTTGTTCAACCAGATTTCCTGGTAAGATTTCCATAATTCGAGGGAGAGAAGATCGCTCAGAGCTTCTTCGACAGTGTCGAATCGACACTCACTCTCCCTGAACACAATCACCTGCACTCTCCGTCGCAGCAGCCAAACTTCCTGCTATCGCAACGGACATTATTCGAGCAGGCTTTCGGGCAAAGGCCTATCACCGGAGTCCGGTGATATGTATATGGAGGTCATATGTGGTGTGCCTCTGTCCTTCTCAAGCCGATCAGCCATCCTCTACATGTTTATATGTATATGGAGGTCATATGTGGTGTGTCTCTGTGCTTCTAAAGCCGAGCAGAAATCGTCTTCGTCACTGGAGAAATACCGCTAAGAATGTTAACAGGGCAACCCAATTAGCCCTGCAGTTCTCAATCGTTCCCAATTAGCAGGATGAGAGATTGTAGGACTGGTACTCTCACTGTGAGAGTCCCACACATGTATGGCTTCTAAATCGACATCATCACGGTGATGAGCTGGTGACCAACTCCGTCAGAAGAACCCCTAAAGGGTTAACGTATAGCGGGTTGGATAGGCACTCTAGTCTGTCAAGGCCCTGTTAGACACCGGCGCCATCAGAGATGACAGCGTAGCTGATATCACAAGCTCAAGTAGATTATGAATGCCACTGTCCAAGGCATGGAAGAACTGAGACTGCCAGTCTCAGACTGAACTAGTACACCTGAGTTCGCCGAACAAATGCATTGATAAGCGACCTCTGTCGGTTAGTTGCGTTCAGCTTATTCCCATCGCGTTTCTCCTAAACGCACAATGCAATCAGCCCATCACAATATGGGGCTCAGATTCAAAATCCATCACAGCTTCCCATCTCTAGCCCCGTTGTAGCTTCTCTGGTTACTCTCGCAGGTACTTACTCGATGGGCAATATACTCGGCCCCACAGTTCCTCGCGACTTTCCTAGGGAAGAGCTTTATCTATTTCTGCTTAATAAGAAGAGTCAGTTTCTCTCTTGAGTTGAGTCTGACTAACAGCCTCGGTTTAGTTCAAACTATGTGGTTTATAAGAACCAAAGCCGCACGGCTGAATGTCGTCACTAGCACTATGACTGCAGTGAGAGCGCCGACCTATATCCCTCAGCCCTTAGCGATACATACCTGTGAGTGGCTCTGAGTATAGCTCTGGAGATGAATATGTTTTTCAGTCGAGACGAATAAGAAATTCCGACGATGGAAGTTTATGCGAATGAAAAAGAAGAAGTGAGTTTTTTCTTCCCACTGTGCCGAATTTGCCAGCGAGCCCGAATAATGTTCTTTGTCTTGGAAGCGTGAGTCCATACCAGGACTCAGTTTCTTCGCTGCAGTTTTTCCTAGTCGGGCTGGGATAAAAGAGCTCTATTTTCACGCGGTGATCATAATCGGTGATGAGCCAGGAATGATTACGGATTTTGAATCTATGGGAGAACTCTCCATCGTATATGCTAGTTCCTCTGTTCGTTTTGGACACTATACCACACTGTGGTATAGTGTCCATAGAAATTGGTATAGTGTCCCTGGTAACCACAGAAATTGAAGACGTGGAGCTCAAGTTTCCTCTCGTTCGAGTCGGGAAAAGGGAGTGAACTTAATGAATTGGGCAGTTGGTTTTGTAGGTACAACAAATACTAGTGCTGTGAGCGGCCCATGGTGACATTTGAGTTTCTGATTATTATGACAATTTCTTTAGTTGAGTTACACTTAATCTTGGTAGTAGATTTGCTACCTGAAATGATAATCCGACGGGAGTTCGTATCGGCATGTCTACAGGAAACAGTACCAACAGCACCGTTTTGGCTGAGTGTACGACATTATCATAAGAAGGGCTCAGCATTTCTCGCACGGAAAACGGCCAGAGACACTATTGTCAAAGGACGAGAGTCTCGGGATAAGGTGAGGAACGCCTTCCGGATTCCCTTACTTTCTTGAAATTACTAGTTAAGTTTTTCTCGTTATCGTGGAGAGCTGTATGTAATATGTAGATGTTCCCAAAAGTTGATACTCGAACTCTCAGAAATGCTTATTTAAATAAATATTATTGGAATTATACTGTATGTTCGAGACTTGGCAGTATATTAACGGCATCGTCCTGCTGCGCTGTCCCGGTCGCCTGCCGTTCTTTATAGGGATGGGGTCACTGTTTTGTCTTTGTGATTAATCATCCGTTCACGTCGGACTCAATACTGGGACCTCCACCCTGCCATGGGCCTCAATTCTTGTATAGAATTGGGGAGAGCTCATCCTGGCTCGACTATAATATTACATAATAACATGTGTTATTCATTATCGCATATTACTCATATTAATACACTAATAGTGTCAGCTGGTGAGGATGTGTGAATGATCGCTCTCTCGTCCTCAGGTCATCTTAGTTCCGCCCTACCTGGGTGCTTCAGAATTGCGTTTGATGTTGCCCATAGATTATTCAGCAGCACTTAGTCTTTGTGGAGCCCGGTGAGGAGCTTGAGCGGTCTCTATTTTCTCGTAAGTCGCTTCAGGCAGTACTTGAAAAAGTACTATTGGAATGACCACGAAGGACGAGAATTCGAAACCACGAGCAAACGCAAAGTTATCGTCCCGTTTGACAATATAGTTCGCTCATTGTACAAGTAGTGTTACATGATCTCTAATTTGATGAGAATCACCGTGATGTAGGTTTGGGATGGAGCCAAGGATGATCGACATGGAGCCCGAGTGGGACTCTGAGAGTCTACCAGTGAAGTCGGGACTCAAGACGAAATGTGTAAGGTCAAGTACGATTCATCCAACTTTGAGAAATAACAATCTGTATGGCACATTCACTCGGGAACATTATAGGTTTTCGCACGTGTACTACTGTAGTGACAGAAAGGAAATTGTGGAGAATTCCCGTAGGTTTGTGTAAACTTCTGCGCTGTATCGTGAGGGAAACTCCTGAGTTCACTTGAGGGAAGCGATTTGATTCATGAATTGGTGGTTTTTCTTGTGGTGCAGGTACCGGTAGTCGTGGTAGTTGGGCATATTAATCATGGTAAAACTACTCTTCTGGATGCACTACGCGGGACCAACGTGGTGGATACGGAACCGGGCCGAATCACTCAATCGGTAGGTGTGGGAAAATATACGATATTGTAAATTCGAAATGCACGAACGTGCGTGAGAAATCCCCCCCCCCCTGAAAATTTGCATAATGTGCTACCTATACTATCGGTAACGCGTTATGAAAACTTCGCTTGTCATTATGAGGAAACTGCTCAGCTCAGCTGAGGAGAGCAAACATTTTTCCCAACATGTCGCTATGGCTGCAGGTCCGAGCGTTCACAATGGACTTGCCTGAAGGCTCGCAACAAGCAGGGACGAGAAGTGCTTCGTTCGACACTGACAGGATGACTTTCATCGACACTCCTGGGTGGGTCCAGTTCACTTCGAGGGCGGTGTGGGAAAATATGCACATGTCAACTATATTTGTTGGAAATTCCGGAGAATTCTGTTTGTTTTTGTACCCGAATTCATGTGGAAACTCCTGAGCTCAGCTGAGAAAAGCGAACATATATTTCCAAGTTCGGCCAGAAATTAAGGAGAATTTTCCGCAAATTCGCAGAAATTTCACATTGTCGCTAAAACATAATTGTTGCTTATTTTTCCACGCTACTTCAGGCATGCAGCGTTCGAGACTTCCCGGGGGCGCGCTGTTGAAGTTGCCGACTGTGCGTTAGTGGTCGTCTCCGTTGAGTAAGTAATCGCTTTCATCATCGATCGCATATCCCCTCCTATCCAGAAACGGCGCTGATATTCAAACTGAGGAGGTCCTCATGCAAGCGGATGCGTTTCAAGTACCAGTTGTATTTGTAAGCACGACTTTATTTTCGGGCGAGCGAGATTCACATTGCGCTGTGGCTGTAGGCTCTGAACAAGATAGACCTGCCGTATGCCAACGTGGAACTGGTCAGGAATGAACTTGCGTGAGTATTGCCGTGTTAGTGATTGTCTATAGGTGGGTGTAGGTACCAGTGTGCTAAGCTGTATGAAGCTGGGATGATCAGCAGTGACTTTTCTGATGCTGCCCGCAAAGCGGTCGCTATATCCGCTTTACACAGCACGAATGTGAATGATGTAAGTTAATTCGCAGCTGTAAAGAATTGTGTGAATATGCATATGGTCAACTGGGGACAGTATAGGAAATTCTTATTGGTTCATGTACAGTTCTACATGAATTAGTGTAGTGAGGAAATTCCTGGAGCTAACCGAGGAAAGCGAATTTGTAGTCCAACACTGGTTGTTCTGCATGAAGATCGAGTGTGTGGTGAATGTGTAAATATTGAGTAGAGTTACCATTACTTGTCTTGAGAAATCAAAGACCATTCTGAGATTGGTCTGTACACTAGGTGGTAGCATCTCTGCAGCAGTCCATTGACGAGGTCCTCAACGAGAGTCAGCAAGAGCTACCATTGCATCATGTAGGGTCGGATTCGATCGCAATGAGGGATGAAGGAAATCTCTAGTGGAAGGGAAAAAATTTTCGATTTTTTTCCGAAAATTTTCGACGATGCTCGTTGATTTATGGTAGAGATATTGTGATATCGGGAATAGATTCGGATCAGATACCGGCACCGTCGATTACGCCTGGAATGGTTGCACAGTTCTACAGGATCACGAAGAAAAGTAACGAGTGTTGCATGTTTGAATTTCGTAGCGCGGTGACGCTAATTAGCATGGTTTCAGTGCTTTTTATCGATGCCATAAGTGTCAGGGCATAATTTTTTCCGAGTTTATAGTCGTTTTTTTAGGGAATGACTACCTCACCGACGTGAACTTACCTGTAACGGCAGCATTAGTGATCATAGACATGACCAACAACATGTCGGAGGGCCGCATTATGCTGTGTTTGGTGAAGCATGGTGTTGTGATGAAAGGCAGCTTTTTTGTGGCGGGCAGTGCTTTTGGGCAAGTCGAACGCATGTGGGATGCAGACAAGGGCACCAAAGCTGAAAGTAGGATGAGACGATTCGATCATAGTATATATCTCTAGTAGTCAATTCTGATAGAGTAGATATGAGCGCCAATTGTTGTTGTTGTGTGTTTTGGGTGTTGTGTGTTGCTGTGTTTTTCGTCAAGCACACACTCCTAAGAGCGTGTGTTTTTGGGGAAATCATGAAAAATGTCATGATTGTCTTACCTGGAAGAGTTTGGGTATCATATTTTCTATTCGTTCATCTACTATTCATTTATTTCGGCTCCTTTTCATTTGGTTATTCTTTGTATTCCTAGTTTTTTTCATGTCTCTTATATGAAGATTCATAAAAAAAACTAGCAAAAACTCTAATAAAAGTTTTTTGGTGAACCACTAATAAGTTCAATTTTGACAATCTCGATGATTGGTATGACGTTGTTGCCCATCAGTTACGAAGGCCACGCCGGGTATGGCAGTACAGATAGTAGGGTTGAAGAAGCAGCGAAGGGGGAAGGACGGCACCTGTAGCGCTACTGATATTGTAATGGTCATGCCAAAGGAGAGAGCATGGCGACTATCAGCGTAAGGAGGATTCGCAAGGATTCTGTGCATGCCCCCTAAGGCTTGATAAAAATGTGATGATGGCATTTACATGGGAAACTGATAGAAGAATGTGTTCCTAGCCATACGTGGAAAATTCAAAATGAGTTTCCCCCCATTGGAGATTTCTGGATGATTTTCTGATCCTGTGTGAATAGGTATCGGCAGAATATTGAGAATTTGTCGGAAATTCAAACAGCGGGGCCTCCTATTGAGGTGCCGTGGTCGAGCGATGGAGTGGCGAAGACGCAAGCGGACATGCCGAGGTCTGCGGATGAGGCTGTTGGCGAGAGAGCGGTAAGAAGTTTACTGATGTGAAGATTTGTATCGCGCGTTTCACTTGGAGTGAAATTTGCTATTTCGCGTAATGTCGGAGAAATGGCACTGAAAAAATGGAAATTTCGTTATACAATTTAATTCATCATGTAATAGATCAATACGATGGGAGAAATGTTTCTCAATAGTTTCATCCGTTTTACGCGAAATGGCGTGATACTCTAGGTGAAAAACACGGATGAATTTTTCCGCGAAGTGAACTGTGAAACATGTTTTTCACTAGTGGTCTTCATATCACGGGTGAATCTCTATTAAATTCATAAAATCCTCATAACTCCGTTTTGCAGGTAGCCCGTGACTGGTTGAGTAAAGAACGGACGGTCTCGGAATATGGTGAAGTGGGGTATAACGACAATAAAGTCTTCAGAGAGGCGCCTCGAGAGGAGTATGAGGAACTCGCTAGACTGGGCGAACACAACCCGCTCGTGGGTTTCGAGGCTGAGGATTATGAAGGTAGCAAGAGTGTCAATTACATGTGTTGGTGACGATATGAAAATTCTGAGAAAATCTCGGGAAGTTCTTGGTGGTCCCTGTACACTTCTACCCGAATTCGTATATGAACTCCTATGATTAGTGAGGAAAACGAGCATATACTCCCACAGCACTGGAGGTAGCGTCCACATTTTCAAGTGAGCATTGATCATCGTGATCAGCAGTTGTACTGAGATTGGATCTGCGTGGCCATCTTGGCTGAAGTTTGTTGGGGTATTGATTTTGCAGGTTCAGTCCCGAACTATAAGCAAATGAGAGACTTCGAATTGGCGGAACAAGAGACTAAGGAGAAGTTGAAAGCAGAAAGGATACGCCTGGCTAAGCTGGCCTCGGGCACGCCACATAGCATAGTGGTGGAGCCGGAGCAGAAGGCTGAGGTAGGAACGGTCGGTTTAGAGTCTATTTTGTGAGAGAATATGCACATGGTCAACTGGCGAGAGTATGAAAATTATGGAAAATTCGTATTGGTTTATGCACAGTTCTATCTGAATTAGTGTGGAGATTTCATTATGTAGTGAGGAAATTCCTGGAATCAGCCGAGGAAAGTGAACATGTATTCCAACACTGCTTGTTCTGCACAATTTTGGCAGGTGGTAGCCGTTCCAGATTTACCACGAAGGACAAGAGTCGAGAAACACGAACACTTATACTCTCATTTGATAATGAGACTCGTTTGCTCTGCGAGTTGATGAACTTTACGTAAAATCCAGAACTTTTCGCCTTTTTTCTCGTTTTTCTGTTGAGATCGAGAATATCAATTGTTGGAGATTTTGAGCCGCACTTGTGTCTTGGCTCTTTATTCAGGAGGAGCCGGTTAAGTCTAAGAGAGGCGGAAGGAAGAGCACTCGGAAGGCCCAGGCGCGTCAGGAAGCCATGGATACTGCAGCTGGGGAAAAGGCTGCTGCTACTGCCGCCGCTGCGCACAGCAAAGATTCCATGTAGATCTTCTCGGCAGTTCGCTGGGTTGAAGGAGTATGTTTGGCATTGCGGGAATATACGTTTGGTTTCCGAGACTGAACTCGTAGGTTTCCTCGTTATGTTATGAAATCCACACACGGTTTCCGAGAGAAATGAAGAAAAACCCACGATAATTTTCCAAAGATTCCTGAAAATTACTATATTTTTTACCAACACATGTAGTTAATCTTGTGTATATATTCACACGCTGATTTTTCAAGTTACTATGTTGAACGGAGGAATTGGCAGGAGGATGCAGTCACTGACACACGGCGGACCATGGAGAGGTGGGGCGAGCGAGATTTGAACAGCTGGAAGGAGAAGGAGGAACAGAAGGCTCATTTTAAGGAGGTGAGCATTTCATCGTTGATTGGAAAAAGAAGAATGCCTGGGATGATACTCGCCAGGCTGTGTGACGGAGGATGGCTTTAAACTAGAGAAGCTTTATGGTTACTCATGAGAGTTTTGATTGGAAATCCATGCAAGCCCTGCATCTACTTGTTGAACACCTTCCTATTATGTGGATTGTATTGTACAATCTCTATCATAGGAAGGTACAATTTATACAACTAAAAAACCGAAATTTCGACTTGCTTCGATTTTCGGACATCTCCTGTATATGTAGCTGAATTCACCAGCACAAAGCTTATCTCACAACTTAGTGATTGTGAGAATCTAGACCGCAACTGATATCTTCGATGTTTATATGAATTTCATCACAACTTGATAATTGTAAAAATCAAGAACACGTACGTAGTGACCTCATCCTAAGTAATCGTGAAAAATAAGAACACAACTGATAGTTTTGACGTTGATAGTAACCCTACTACAGCACCTAGGTAATTTTGGTGAGCGAGCGTTTCAGCCTAGCAGTAGACGCATTGCACAAACGCTTGGGACACTAACAATGTCGTATGGTGCACAATTGAGGGTATCACAGATAGTTGTTTTCGTTGAGGCTAGGCGCCGTAGCGAGAAGTGTCGGTTATGTGGTTGCTATTGTGAAATAGTTGTTCTGGTTCTGTTCATAGGAGCAGCAGGCGATGGAAGCGATTCGAGCTGAGATTTTCGGACGGAGGAAAAATCGAGAGCATCGAGAAAAATTGGATCTTACAGAGTGGGTCAATTTTAATATTGTTCATATTGTATATCGTTTTACGTGTTGAATTCACGAAAGTGTTGTTATTAAGAAACTGATCTCCCTTTCCTTGATGTTGGTGATTTGCTGTGCGGTCCGCTATAGCGTATGTTCACAGTGTAGATATGAGGATTTACCTGAGGCTAAGTTGGTCCTACCAGTGATACTAAAAACACAGTCAATTAACGTGTTTGACGGTATAATGGATGAGATTGAGATGATAGAGAAAGAATTTAGTAAGCTTATAACGCCTTGATGAGGGTAGAGTTGGAGGTGTTAGATATGCGAATACCGATAGTGCATGGTGGGATCGGACCTGTTCTTAAGAAGGATGTTGAGCATGCAGTGGTTGAGAGGGACTATGGCTACTGTCCAATTTACACAGTCCAGGTCAGATCATCGTGACATTTCTGTTGTGAGGAATCGTCATTAATTTCGCCTTGCGTGGGAGCTTGCTGATGTACCCAGTGAGAAGTATCATAATTGTCATCGATTAGGCGTCATGAGAAACTTCGTAGCCAACTCTCGAGTGGTACTTTTTTTCGTCATATTTTCCCCTTCCTTTTCCTGCAAGAATAGTGACTTTCTGGAAGGCAGTGTCTTAGCTGTGTGGAATTTCTCGAGGAACGGACATCTGTTGGCTCGGGAGTGATTGTTCGTCTTGGTCTGGTACAGGTCGGAATTCATCCTACTGCACGGCAGCATGCTGATGACTGCAACGTACCTGTAAAGAACTTCGACGTTTTCACGGATCTGCTGGAAGACATTCGCTCACGATGTAAACTCGTCATAGAGCGAAAACGGAAGATCGATCAATATGAGAAGATGCGATTGAAACATGCTCAGTTAACCGAGGCATGAACCACGCTCAACGACATATTCAACGTTTCTGGCATTTCCATGTTTCTGAAACGCTTCCCGTCTCGTTACTATGCATGTTGGTCTGTCCGAGAGGGAGTGTGTTGCATAAAAATAGTCTTGAATTCTGTTATGCTTCGGCAAACAACAGAAGTGTACGAGCCTCTGCTGCGTTCGAGAGACCGATGGACGATACGCTGCAGAAGACGTCTGAAAGCACTGTGGGCGAGCAATCTGTTTAGAACAACTATATTGGCTGTGTGCATAGCGGGGCCGTTGACTATGTTGATATGGACGAACGTCGGCGATGGCGCCACAAGGCCTGGGATGACAAGTGAGTTGATGTAGCTCGGCTTTCATGGTTATGAGTTATGACACATTCTGAGGCATTTTAGTAAGTAGTTAGTTAGCCAGGAAGGAGTAGTTCCAATTAAATGGAGGAATGATCGTCTATCCAACGATAGTCTGGTGAATTTCATTGTTTCGCATGACGAATGTGAATTTCCCCGCTACTGGCAAAGTATAAAAACATTACTCGCGAGGCTTTGGTTTACTTTCGGTTTCGATCAGATTGCTCAGTGAATTCTGCGCAGATGTACAGCCTCCAAGGCATGGGTATTGACAACGGTGTGCACTTTACTCAGCACCTCAGCTATGACATTGGGGGCGCCTGTGGCCGTGTGCTCCTGCGAAAACCGAAGTTGTGCGATGACAGTGTTGAACAATACAGTGGCTATTTTACTGTTGACCCAAGGCTCAACAAGAAATATTTCTTCTGGTTTTTCGAATCGAGAAATCGCACTGTACGCCCACCCACTACCCTATGGCTCAGTGGCGGCCCCGGGATGAGTTCAATGCTAGGCTTGCTGATGGAGAATGGTCCTTGTAGGGTACAGAAAAACTCTACTACAACGTTCAATCAATATAGCTGGACGGAGTCTTCTAACATGCTTTGGGTTGACCAACCGCCTGGTACTGGTTTCTCAACGGGGGCGTATGATCGGGACGAAGAGGAGGTCTCAGAGGATATGTATATATTCCTTCAAGCATTCTTCCGGCGCTTCCCACATTTCAACGATCGATTCTTCATCACGGGAGAATCTTTTGGTGGACAGTACGTACCTTCGCTAGCTGCGACGATAATCAAGAAGAACGATGAAATAAGGGCTGAGGGTGATTTGAGGGAAGATGTCGGCGATGCTTTTAGTCCCTCGTTAATTAGAAAACAGTGATGTCAAATATCAGTACATGCAGTATTGATAGTCTCAGGTTCATTGCCCGGCAGAGTGCTCATAGACTTTCGTGGGATGGCTATTGGTAACGGAGTGACAGTGCCTGGAATACAGCTGCAATGGTATCCCCAAATGGTAACAGTGTATGTCCACTCGGTCATCAGCTGTGGTATGTATTAGGCTTACAACTCCACGACGGCCCCATCCGTAGTGTCGAGAGCGACCTACGATGAAATGATGAGTGTGATGCCGAAGTTGGACAAATATCTCGCAGAATGTCTGCACCAGTCTACTAAGGTGGGGAAGGTGCGCATGTCGTGTCGCGCTTCATTAACGCGTCGTAAGCCTGAGTTCATCTTCATCGCTTCGATTGATTCGAGGGTCAGTATAACTGAATGACGAAGTCCTATTCGTTCCGATGGACTGATGCGATCCGAGCCAATTTATCGCTGCTTGAGGGACACTTCACTCTCGACTAGAACCGAGCCTATGCGACTTATATTCAGGCTCGAGAATCGTGGTTCAGTTTGCCAGAAGTCTGCATTAACGCGTGGTTGACATTTGAAACTGCGATGATGATGCCTATTATCACTGCCGGATATAACAAGTAAGAATCTTTCACAACGACACCGAAGATCGGACTGTTACTTGAGGCATGAGTATGCTTGTCCTCCCCTTCCAGTATTGGTGCGGGAAGATTTTGGGTGACCCCGTTTTTACGTTTTCATGCTCCATGTGATATAACTCGATGCAATCGACTGACCGATGACTCGAGATGTGTGAATTTTGGGTCGTCCACGTATGGTTCCACATGCATCCACTCCAGACCGACTCGTTGTCCATGAACTCCATAGCATGGTTTCCACCCGATGAAAGTATCACTCGATAGCAGTGCATTCTTTCCGATCCCGGAACTATTGACGATCTGATCCAATTAGCAGCTTCTGACGGTTCAATGAGCAACAGGCGAAGCTAAGCTTCGTTTGGTGAAAAGTCTTACTGCATTCTGAGAGTGATCTTGGTAGGACTATCTTACTCTGGTGAAGTTCAGCAAGAGAGCATGTCTTGCTTAATACACAGTAGTGTGTCATATGCTCGCATTGCGGCCATCGAAAGTTGGAATGCTCTGAAGGAGGTTCTGCCTGTTACGTCCTGCGCTGGAGTTCCGCGATCGATGACTCGTAGATTACGATTGAGTATCTGCAAGTTGGATCTGGTTCCTGATTGCATCGTCGGTCTTGCAATCAGTTTGCGACACGCGAAACAAATTCTGATCTTGAGAATTCTTGGAATTCTCATCGGCGGCTGACGATCGGATAGTCATTGAGCACTCTCAGCGAGCAGTCTACATACACTTCCAGGGTGATGCCGATCTGGATATGCTCCCTGAACGCTTCAGAAAGGCTGAGTAGACATCAAGCAAGGAAACAGAGACAGCACTCGCGAAAAGGTTATCGAATGTTAGGCTCGAACTTCGCAGAATAACGTCAAGGAGGTATGAATTGCAGCTTTCCTCTAGTGAAACCTGAAGATACGGTGTATCTGATACACTCGCAATGTAGCAAGTACGCTGCGAGATATATACCTGTTAACGATCACGAATTTTCATGGTGTAGTCATCAGTTAATAACAGACGGTTGTAGAACCTAAGCGGTCACCGCTCACCTACGTCGATCAACCTGATCGATTCTGCGACAGGGGAGCGGTTCTGGTTCAACCCACTTGGTCTCATACGAAGAAGTATGATGATGTTGAACTTATGAGTTATTGATCCATTGTGGATCTTTCATCTCCTGTATCTTTTCGTTTGCATTGCCCATCGCCGCAGCTGATGAACTGTTCCCAAAGTATGTGATCACGTACCCGTAATGATGTTCCGTCGAGGTCGGCTGGACGACCTCGGGGCCAGCCTTCCCTTTCCGAAAACTCAGTATTTAAGGTATTGTGTTTCCGAAGAGAGAGTAGTCTGAGTTCCCCAGTATCACTTGGACTCAGGTATGATTTGCGTAAACGCGGAGAATACAATTTCACGCCGATGAACAGATATCTAAACAACCCCCTGGTCATGAAAGACCTAGGAGCCTTGAGACCTTGGAGATCCGACTCTCCTGGGGTGAGCTATTATATTATCATTTTAGCCAGCACTTTCATCTTCGAGATGATCGGGCTTCAACATTCGGTCCCCTGTTGAGATTTGCCCAGGTAGCATTGCACCTCCGACCCACCGAGTTCTCACGTTCCTGTGCCTCTGACGTCAAGCTTGTATTAGACAGAGGTCTCCGAGTACTGATATATGCTGGGGACCAAGATTATCTGTGTAACTGGCTCGGCAATCAAGCATGGACCAATGCCCTCCCCTGGGCTCACCAATCAGAATTTGGTCGGCAAAAGCCAAAGCCATGGGGCAAACGAGACGGTAAATTATTCGTTGCTACTGCCCACGATATTAAGAGGCTTCCGTCGCGGTTGAACTGATGTCCGACTCTTTCTCAGATGGAGGAGTGCTGGTGATGCCAGTTGGCCATCTCCAGCAGTACGAGAACTTTGCGTTTCTACGAGTCTATAATGCAGGACATATGGTTCCTATGGACAAGCCATCGGAGGCACTGTACATGTTCGATCAATTTGTTGAAGGCGACATATTTCACACGCACTCTTGACCATTCAAGGTTTGCCAATCATATCCATTATCTTTGCTATTTTGATATCGGGTATCCGTTTCGTCCTACGCTCTGCTGTGTTCCTGCTACTCTGCTTTTGTACAAGCGAGCGGCTTGTGGTCCCCTGGGTTAGTCTACGAAACTATGAGAATCGTCACTCACTACGTTTGCGGTGGGTGTTGTCTTGTCATCTTCAGTTTTTATGTTGGACTGAATGGCTCACCATTCGAACGACTCACACCGAACGAATGCTGCCGCGGCTAAGGCAGCGCTGGCGGCCGCCTCATTTTTCTGGGGCGTAGCGACAAAGTCAGTGGGCAACTCCGTGAAGAAAACTGACTTGAAAGTTGGTGACCATATTTATCAGTGGCGGAAAGGATCCTTGTATGACTTCGGTTGATCCTTGGAGTGAATTTCTCTGTCAAGATATTCACACCATGGAATCATCGTGGACATCAACCCGTGTCCGAACGAGACCTGCGACCATCGCGGCGTGTGCTGTACGATGTGAGGGGAGTGGCTGTCTTGCTCTCCACCGTCGTCTTGCTCTCGATCGTGTGGAAGTCGATGCTCTCTGCAGGTAGCGTGGTGCATTTCAGTGGTCACCAAGCTAGTGAAGCTGCTATCAAGTTGACGTCACTTGGGACCTTTGCGGGAGAGCAAGGGACCTCATCGGTCAAGAGATTCAAATATGGCTGCACCAACGAACAAGTGTGTCCTACTATTCAGATAGTTCACATTGGAATGCCTATGCTGGTCAGATTCAGTCAGAGCGGTCTGGCACGTGTTCTTTGAAAGTGCCAGACCCTACGTGGATGGTCGCTCTTAGAGCCCTCTCGATGGTCAACAATTTGGACGTCGAGTATAATCTGCTCGAGAAGAACTGTGAACTCTTCTGTTGTTGGTGTGAACTTGGACCCAGTGAGTGTCATAGAGTCTCGCTGGCCCGATGACAACTCGATGTTTTCAGGGAGTGGTATTGTAAACTTTGGGTCGACCGAGAGGCGAGCCATTGGTCAAAGTGATCCTGAGAGGTTCCGGCAGCTATCTTCGATAACGAGTTCAGTTGCCCAGTCGCTGGGCTTTCGAGGTGGGCGTATTTACTTGCTGAGAAGAATTGCAGAACCTACCACCATAGTGAACTATGAGGTCATCAGATGCTCATGTGGCAGCGGCTTCAGCAGCAGTGAGCACCGCAGCTCAGTCGGCATACAAGCATAGTGAGCAGTGCACGGACCTCCACGCATCTCCCAACTCAACCCAATTGTAGGTGACAGTGTGACTGCGTTCGCCTCAACCTTCCTGCACACACCGTCAACGAGAAAAGACGACAATCTGAAGCTCTTCAAAGCCATCGTCGCTAAGATCTTTGCCTCAGTACCAGTGGTTTTGCCGAACGCTGTAGACAGAGCGGTGAACTCGGATGATCTATCGCAAAGTGTGATTGGCGTATTCCTCGTTCGCACATGGAAGACGTTCCGATAGGTATCTCGATGCTTGGCGCGATCGTTGTTGACATATCCGAGAACCCACAGCTTCTGCGTAATCCGGATTACATCACAAGCCCGATGAGTGCGACCGAGTGGGAGACTGCCTTGCGATCTGCTTTGTGCGATGTGGATCGTGCTGCTTCAAGAAAGTGATTATTCTCTCAGCCAGACGTATTGCGTTATCGGATCGTTGGAATAAATAGATTGCTATTCTTGCCAACCAGAGACTCTATTAGCGAATGAGCGCATCATGGACCTGACTGGTGCGTGATGCTTGTAGACCAGGGGTCCGACCAGTGTTTGCACCTCTCTACACTCCACAAACTTCGGGTACGGGTGAAAACACACGTCGAGTCATAGAGTGATAAGAATTCGCAGTGCGATATTCAGATCTTGGGTGACGTTCACGCCTTGAGCATGCGTGCACCCTGTGCAGGCGAGCGAGAATCGGCAATTTTCACGGATAGTGTTACTTTCAAGTGGTCTTCCTCGATGCCTTCTTAGCTCGACTACCAGGTTTATTTAACATGGTTATCGCTGTTGGTTCCTCCCTTACCAAGACTGAACTCTTCGAGACAAGCCCTGACGACAAGAAGACCTTGGCTGATGTTTTTGGGATGAAAACTGGGATTCTCTTCGGAGTCCCAGGAGCCTTCACTCCCACTTGTGACCAGACCCACTTGCCAAGGTAAGTCTTGTTAGTGCCGTGCGTGGTGATTCTGTGGTGATTCAGTTACCTCAAGGACTACGAACAGCTGAAGGCCAAGGGCGTTGAGGTCATCGCTTGCATGGCTGTCAATGACAGTTTCGTCATGCAAGCCTGGGGTAAAGTCACAGGGGCCGAGGGCAAGATTCACATGCTCGCCGACATCAAGGCTGATACCGCTAAGGTCAATCGCGTCCGACTAGCCCTCTGTTGTTCGCATCGTATTTCTTCAGGCTCTGGGGGTTGATTTCGATGTGACTCCGGTCCTCGGGAATGTCAGATGCAAGCGCTTCGCTGCTGTTATCAGGGACGGTGAGCCCAACATGAGGAGATGGTTATAGGTATTTTTTCTCTCAGGGAAAATCGCGGCTATAGAGGTCGAGCCGGATAATGTAGGCGCTTCTTGCACCCTGGCTAAGGATATCTACAAATACCTCTGAGCATCATCTGCTCCGGGAGTAACGAGAGTTGTTATTTGAGCGATTTTAACTGGACCAACCGACTTCGTTTTACGTCGACAAAGTTCATTGTTCTTGAGTGGGGCCGAAGGCTACTTACGGCGCGCAGCTTTGGGGGAGTATATTACGGCGCGCAGCTTTGGGGGAGTATATTACTCAATGAGAACTTGTCACGGAGAAGGCTTATGCAGTGCGCAATGTGCATTGTATGGGTCACGATCACATCTGCATGCGCTCGACAAATATCAGAGTAATCATGAAGACAGGGTACGACACTTCGTCCAGCATAAGGATAAGACAAGAATCGCCGTTGGATCGAAGCCCAGCTGCCTACAACGATGAGAAAGCCTTCCGACTGAGGAAGCGTAGAGCGACTGGGTCCAGCCTGATCCGTACGCACGTCCACGTTCTGTGCGTTAGTAAATTGATAGTCGATGCGGAAAGTCGTGAATCGTCATAGCGATAGTATCACTATCTCGGAAATTGCCGAGTCTAGCCCGCTTGTTCGTCGAAGGCCACATTTTAAACGAGCGTTAAGAAATGTTTGAATGGAGACATCGTCGCAGCATTCTGCGTTTCCTTCTGTGCTCGATGACGCAGTCACCTGGATAACCCCATCACTCAACACATGGGAGGCGGACGAAACTGCAAGAAAATGAACACTTATGACGGACGGTCTAGATTCCACCGTTGACGTCATCAACAAACAAGCGCGCATTCAGAGGCCGAGCTGATTCTACCACCTGAGGAAAACTTGATAAAAATTGTCGTGGAGAAAGCAGGACGTCACCCGTTGCTCCGGGATGAACTGGATCCAGTCCCCACTGGCGATCGGCAGAATACCCATATTCGCAGCATGATTCCCCAAGTATCTAGGCACAGACCTTGACGGAGCCCACAGAACTTGCTTCCTACGCTAATATCGCAACGTTAATGCCAATGTAAGCCAGCTTTTGGAGAATCACGTTAGCAGCAGCGAATTGGTCGAAGACTGAAATGGTAACAGGCGCTGAAACTATCCCTTTGCTGGTCAATGGTTCACCCTGGTTGCATTTGGCAAGACTCTTGACGGTGTTCATAGTAGCATAACCCACAATAAGTATACTAAACAAGCCTAAAGCGTAGCTGTACAAACTACTACGAACAGCAGGGAATAGTTACCAGGTCCAGAGCCGCTCATCCAGAGCATGAACAAGTTCATGAATATTGACTTAGCCGGACTGATAGCAGTCTCCCATGCGCCTATTAACGGTTATATGAGCCCAGTCGCATAAGAGTAACTACGTTTCTCCAGGATAGCTTTTTGTTGGGCAAGCTTTTGGATGGCCTGTTGACCCGCTGCCTCTCCTGATTGCTGCACTTTCCAATTGAACCCGGTAGGGTCGGGGAGAGCTGACGTGAGACAGTGAGTGATGACAATATACCCGATACACTAGTACCTTCTTTTTTCGTTGCTTTCTCAGGGAAGGTCAGATCCCACTTGTCGAAGAGTTCGCCAACAAGGCTAGCCGCCATTTGCGATGAAAATTGAGAAACTGTGGAACAGAGAGATAATCGCCCTTCGATCAACATAGATTCATTCAAGTTGCTGTATGGCTTGTAATCGTTTCGTAGAAAAACGACCGATCCAGGGATTGAACCCGGATGCAAGCTCAGTAAAATTATCCTCTTTAATGTGCAATGATTAACAACCTTTGATTCAGACGGTTTTTCTTCCCTTATGTCTTGCTCATTAGCGAGTCGAAGAATAAATTCTAGGCAACTGACAGGGCGAGAGATTAGGTACTCAATATGATTCATATGAGCTTTCAGTTGCATCGTGTTGCTCATCATGTCACGGTGAAATTGTCACCACTTTATCGATGTTGCACAGCGGTCTTTAATTGTGCCAGGACCACCTACACAGTGCCGCTTCCGAAGAAGTTGAATGAGACACTACGATTGCCGCTGTTCGAACGGGAGGATCCAGTCAGAATAAGTAGTATTGGGCGAAGTTCCGACCGGTCCTTGTACATGAACGTAGCGAACTCAGTTGCGACGCGAATGAAATTTAAAGGGGGATCATCCCCGGGGATGCTTTTCCCGTCCACATTCTCAGTCTATTGATGTTCATCGTTTATGTAATTCCTAATAGAGCTAACCCACCCGGGCTCCAGTAATCACGGGAGTCGTGCGTATCCGGTGTTAATTTGCTCAACATTGCCTTTCCAATCCCCAGCGAGTTACTAAGCCATTGCCAATAATAACTTCCACGAGCGGTGACTTCTCTCCGCGATGAACTTTGGTCTCTCTCCAGTCAAGTGAGGGGACGCTGGAACTCCCCTTGGGCTGCCTCATTTTCAAAGTTTCGAGAAAGTAGTTGGATACTTAGAGCCTCTAACTTAGAGGCCCTGTGTAAAATGACAGATCATACGATATTGCCCACTATTTTAATTTATACCGGGTCACCCAGATCGCATATATCGGGTGGTCACCTATACCAGGTTGGTAATGGTCGGATCTGGTTGCCCATGCATCATACATCATTACACATGGTCCGAATAGCCATCATCATGTATCACTTCGATAGAGCGATAACAATATTATGGCTCATAGTTTATGAGTCGTCCTCTAGTTTGCTGCCAAGTCGAGTTTACTGTCTGGCAGTGTATGACCGATACAAATACATGGTGGGATGGGAATATGAGGAGATCTACATCTCTTTGGATAGCACTTTCAAACACTGTGTCAGCTGCCGAGAGTCTCAGCAATATACCATTTTGATGCGACGCAGGACGGAGCGTATATGCCCAATAATCTTTGCGCTGCTGCCGAACGAAGATGAGAAAACTTACCAATAGATATTCAGTGTACTGGAGTTACACCCTGGGCTTGTCCCGTAGGCTATGATGTCTTCTCTTGAATGGTGAATTTCCGACAGAGCGGCGAGAATATTCCTAGAGCAGTTCGCAGAACAGCGACTCTGTTGGGCTCCTGGCCCTCGCAAGTGCTGTAAGCTCTTTGATGAATTTCTTTTCGGAATGAATTGACTTCACTGAATTCTCGGGAAGTTGACGATTGTTGGAAATTAAGTATCTCAGAGTTGCGTTTGCTCTCTACATTGCATGTTGTACAATGTAGCATATACTGGGCCCAAGTATGGTTAGTCCGAAAAATGGCTCTCGGTTACTGTGTACCATCTGGCTCTGCTTTATAGATTCATCGCAGAATGAAGTTTAATTTCTGCCATCTTCGCTTGACGAGAAATCCTGTCCAAGTCGTCCTGTGTTTCTTTTCATTGATGACCAAGTAAAACTTGGCAGGTTGGACGGATCCTATACTCTCAAGTAGCGGCGGTTCGGGAGATTGGCATTGATTCCATCATGGAGTCAATGAGGGAGAGCACTAAACAACAGGGTCACTGATGTACGGGATACACTAAGTCATAATTCATCGGTGCAGTTCAAGGCATCCCGACTATTTGATTTAGGCTGAAGCATATACCGGTTGTTGTTACGATCATCTGAGAATTTCAGAGTGGGTCTCAGTCACTGAGAATCTCAGTCACTGCAGAATTTCTGCACAGTGGAAGGTGAGTAGTTATTATGTCGTATCAAATACAGGCTCTTAGTGTCTCAGAATTGTTGTTAAACATTGTTTAACATTGTGTAGCCCTCCGCAAACAACAGTTGTTTGCGGAGGGATTGGTATAAGCAACATCCACCTCAATGACGTTTGGTGCTCTGACGGCTCCGGTGGAAGTCGGCAACGCCTGTCTGTGTGCGCCCCATGGGAACCCCGATGGGCCATGGGATTCACGGTGAATCATTCACCACCATCAACGGTGAGTTCCCTTCGAATGTGTATTGTTGAGAGTACGCCTGGTATGATATGCGGCCAGTCGATAATCATGGTCGGGGGCACTACTATGACGGATTTCCTTTCTGACGTGTGGAGGTCAGACGACGGCGGAGTGTCGTGGAAAGAGGTAGGCCCAAGTCGGGCCGCCCGACAGGCTCCAGTATACTGTGAATTGTTGGTATTCAGATAACGCTAGTCTCCGTCTAAGATGGAGACTTCGGTCCCCGAGGAGGAAAGGCTGTCGTTCAGCACAATCCGAGCGGTATGCTAGTTTTATGTATTGGCGAAATAACAAGCACTCAAGATGGTAAGAAGAATCGACATTAGATAGAAGTGATGGCTTCTCTGTGTAGGCATCGGTGAGCCGAGTAATGATGTCGATCAGTGCAGTTCCGACGTTTGGATTAGTCGAGAATCTCGACTCGAGATGAAGGATTCTCATGGATTAAGGCTTCCACTATGACCAGCGAGTCATGTGGATGTGAGAAGTGCTGTTGTTACGTCGTTGGACTATTTCAAGCAGGTCTCCCACCACTAGGTGTTTCCCAAGATGGGCTCCCCGAGACCATACCGAGACGTTGGCGAGCTAGGTGTCTCGTTCGAATCGAACGAGCCCTTAGCTGAGGTTATGGACCATAAGCTCAACTAAGGGCTTTCTTCACCCGAGAGAGACACATTGTGTGCTACGGAGGATTGAGACAGCGATCGATGATGATGCACCAACATCTTCCAGGGCCGGTATGCGGATCCTGATCCACGGATCAAGCACATGATCCAGATCGCTCGTTGATCTTGACGTCTGAGCCAAATCTTTCGTGATCCGAGATCCGTGAGTCAGATCTGCGATTCTTGATCTCGATCCGTGATCTTTGATCCTGATCCTTGACCGTTGATCTCGATCCCTGAACTTTGATACTGATCCGTGATCTATGATCTGGATCTCGCGTGAACCTCATTTTTGATCCTGATCTATGATTCTTGAGAAAAAACTTGATCCGTGATCCAAAGATCAAGGGGTTGAGAAATTCTCAGACGAGTTGAGAAATTTCGTTGATCCGTGATTCATTCGGTCCCGTGGGATCACCCTCTGATCCGGATCAAATATTGGATCAAGCTTCTGATTAATCAAGAGGATCAGTTTACGGATCAGTGGTACTTTGCGTGTTAAAATGCCGTGATCCTGTAACGGGGCTTTTTCGCTACGTTACACTACTCGTGATCCGTGATCCTGATCCCTTCAAAATGCTACACACTTCGTGGTACGAAGATTCACTTGTAAATGCATAC